AAAAAAAAAAAATAAAACAATTTTGGTCAACAAGTACCTAGTGACTTTTGGTCAAAACATCTATAATCTATCGTTTGAGCCACATTAAAATTTCAATTCTCATTCTTTTACTCATTTTCAAGCACACATTTTCCATCAATATACTATTTCAAAATACATTCTTCCAAAATAATGTGGCTCAACACACCAAATTTAGAATAATGCTTTTTGCCGAATGTTTTTAGCATCTTGGATGGCAGATTGTTTTAAAAACAATTCAATGATAGGATGACACGTGGCATTCTATTATCCAAGATATCAAAAAATCATGAAAACCAAGCATGATCGATAAATTTAACCAAAAGTACTTTTAAGTACTAAAACTACTTTTAGCTATTGCTTGAATCCTTTTTTTCCTTCACAAAATGGGTTCTGTAATATTGATTTTTGGGAGAATGCATGGTTAAAGTTAGAAAAAGTTTTTAGCATTTTATTGTGAAAATGTGTGATAAAATAAGTTTAAAAAAATGAATTTTTAATAATGGAGTTCAAATAGAACTTAATAATTTTATATTTGAAAAAAAATATATATAACTTGCTTTTTTTAATATATATTTTGAAGTACCTAATTGTTAAAATATAAACTTATTTTCAATGATGAGCTATTTTAAAACTCATTTATTTAATTAGCCCCTATTTAGTTTAGTTAAAAAAATTGATAAAAAAAGCATAAGTCAACAAGTAAATTTAATCACACATAAAATCGACAGTTTTAATTAATTTTTTTTTAAAAATCTACTAAAATTTTCATTTTAGCTAAACCAAGTAGCTTATTAAATAATTTAACACGCTCTTTTGTCGATGAATACAACCTTTTTTTTTCAGCTATTGAAATTAACCATATATTTGGTAGAAATTAAAATCTAGATTTTAATTTAAGTTAAAGTAAACAATTAATTTCATCAATATATTTCACAGGGTTCACAATTTTTCAACCATACATTTAATTATCTTGTTATTAAAATCTACTAAAAATACCGTTTTAATCCCCACCAAACAAGGTTAAGTTTGGGGTGAAAATTTTTTCCTCCTAGACCCACCCTGTATTCCCCCTAACTAATACACTTTGGTGAGGATGAAAAACGTAGATGCCACCCCGAATTTTCATAAGATGTTGTAAATTTTTATATTTTATATTTAAATTATATATAATATTTGTTTAATACTAATTATTTTCAAAATACATTTTTCTCTCTCTTATTTTCAACCAAACATTCTTCATTAAAATAACGTTACAAGCAAAACCAAAACTTTTTTCTTATTTTGAAATCACACGTTCTCAAAATGAATTTTTGGACAAGAGAAACTAACTCATAATAAGATAATAATTAATAATTAATTAAATGAAACAGTAAATAAGAACTTTTTATGCTCCGCCAGCTTATTCGAAAATCCCCGACAAAGCAGAGATGGTACCCCAACCTATCGCTATCAAGTTTATTCCAAGGATTGAATAAAACAAGTTTAAATAAATCTCATTGGTTGGGTTATTTTATTTTGGTGTGATTAAAGTAAGATAAGTTACTCAACTTAATTATGATGCAAATTATCCTCATCTACTTATAAAACATGTCTTAAATAACAAATATTATCGTTTACATATAATTACCGATGTTACCGTTTTCGATGAAGTATATCTACGAGCTGCTATTAACTAGCAAGATGCGACCGCGACACATTTATCTAGATCAGCGAATGGATCAAAAAAATAAATAATCAATCTTATTTATAATCAAAAAGTAAATGAGAGATCAAATAGAAAGATAATATGCGAGTAGGCAAGTTGTTGAGGTTGTGTATTGCCTTTCAAGAAAACAGTATCTAGAGCAATCGCTTCCATTTTCCAATGATACTTACTGAACCATCCAAAATGGTTTCTTCTCACCAATCGTGATTCTCGCTACATTTTTTCAAAAACCTTAGAATATTCGTCCCACGTGACTATAACAGTTATTTGCAACGTTACCCTGATAAACTCTATATAAAGGATGATGGACACTATACAATGAATAGTTTTTCTTATTCAAAACTTTTCATATATACACGATACAATGAGCATATATATTTTCTCTCACACCATGCATGGTACAACTTATCGAGTCTCCAACATAATGACGGACAAAATCGACCAGCATCAACTATTTATGAATAACTAAAATTACTTTTACTTAGTTTACTTTATAAACAAAGCTTACTAATAAGTACTTTTTTTAAGCCTAACCAAACGAAGCCCTATTTATATTGTCTCTTACCACTATTTCAGACTTTTCCTTTTTGCTTAAAATCAACCCATCTTCTCTCTTTATCTCTCTAAATTCATTTTCTGTCCTGGTCCAAAGTCCAAAACCGTTCAACTCGCACCGCAACGTTTGTATTTTCTTACAAAAAACACGCACAAGGACACACTAAATAGCATTAAAAAAAATACTCTTCAATCATCTATTCATGCTACTGTTGCTAGTACGAATTCGCTGGCTGCAGTTTAGACTTTGATGTTTGGTCTGTAATACTATGCTGTGGATCCCAGAAAAGGGAAGGGGAAAGGATAAAGATCAATAAAAATGGTGTTTAAGGGGAGATTTTTCTCTTCCAAAAAGTCAGATGCTTCCAGCCCAGGTGGATCCTCGAACAGTCCCCGATCTTTCGGGTCTAAATCCAATTCCCCGATCCGATCCGATAAGAAGAAGTCCAAGTCTTCTTCACCATCCATTTCCAAGGACAACTCCCCGAGCACCCCAACCGTCAGCACCAGCAAAAATTCAATTAACAAAAAAGACTCTAAAGGGAAAGATGCACTGGTTTTGAGTAAACCCAGTTCGGAAATATCGTCTTCATTTGCTCCTGCCAAGTTGAAAAAACCGGACGAGGCCGCTGGACAGGAAACGGGGCCCAACTCGGTGTCTGTGTCGCCGATAGTTGCATCGTCGCTGGGGTTGAACAAGATAAAGACGCGATCGGGGCCATTGCCGCAGGAGAGTTTCTTTAGTTTTAACAGCAGAGAAAAGGGGGTTCCTTTGGGTTCCAGTAAGTTGTCAAAGCCATGCGGCCGTGGTGTTGGTGGCGGTAGTGATGGGAGTTCTGGCGGGAAGAAGGAGAAATTATTGGTGGAGGCTGCTGATAATAGGAGCAATTTGGATATGTCAACTGAGACCGGGCGGCCATGGGACCGGAGCCCAAATGTAGTCAAGGCTCAGGCCCGGTCACGGCTCGAAAATGAGGAGTCGTCTTCTGAAGCTGCTGGTATGTTTCTCTATGGTTTCTGTCAGAGATAAATCTTGTTCATATTTCATAATTTAATTTTGTATTGCATGTCATCTAAAAAAACTTCATATCTATTGAGTTTCCTTCATGTTGAGCAACCTTAACCACTATGTTTTTAGTTATGTCTTCAACTGGCTTGAATTTCCCATTGAATTAGTATCACGACCATCTAATTTTTGTTCCATTAGGCGTGGCCTCGGGCAACTCTTAGCTCCTGTAAAAATTTTGGTTATCATCCAACGAAAAAAATAAAAATAAAAATAAAAATCAACAAGATTGCTTTATTCCTCAATACATTAAATCTAAAGAATGCTTGCTTGTTACATTTGAGATGCCTATTGGAAAGGAATCCTGCAGTTTGAGGTACTCAATTTTACGATTCTCCTAGTATTAAACTTGTGTTGAGGTGGCTTAATTTATTTATTCGTTGTTTTTATTGTAAAATTTCATGCTAAGTTTGGAGGTCGTGATCTTATTTCTGAATGTGATTTGGAGAAAGATGTTTTAGGCAACACTTTATTAGTGGCCCTTATGTTTTGGTTAAAATTAATCTGCAAACCAAGTCTTTATGCTCATGGAAACAGAAATTTAGAGCAATATGTTCAGTTCATAATATTCTGTATCCTCCTCCTTTGCTGGACACCTGGTTAACACACTCTAGCTTGCTTTAAGTATCTGCTACCCCACGATTATGCATATGAGAAAAGGAATTCTGGGAATTATTGAAGACCTTAGCAGCTTGACTTAATGTAGGATTGTGGATTTTTGAAATGGAAACGATATTTGCTATTAACACCTATTATATTTATCCGTGACAGTAGTTAATACCTATATTTGTGATAATTAACACCTATATTTATTTGTGATAATAATTAACTACCAAAAATTCTGTCAACAGTTTTCCAAAAATGACTGATTAGTTAAATCCTATATTTTTTTATAATAATTAACACCCATTATTTTTTATTTTCATATTTTTTTATTTCAATAGCAAGAAAGACTTTTTGCATATTGAATTCAAGATACTTGATTACATTATTTTAATTAAGAGATCTTGGTGCAAGTGAAGCTCGAGGAGAACTCTACATTCTCAACTGCTCTTTCCATAGAATCTGTCAAAGATATTTCATCGTGAAATAGCTTACCTAACAGGATAAGTAACTTCTTTCAATCTTGAAGCGTGATTAGCTACTAAACTCAACTCAACTACATCTTTGCAATTAATAAGGTATAAGAATTCAATAATGTACCAAACTCTGTCAATGGATTTTTGTCAAAATTGTCTGATCAATCAATTCCTATTAGATTTACTGAACTGTAACGATAAACAATGTATGTACAATCACACAAATGTTATCTAACAATCCTATTTACCTGTGATTAATTGTAAGACTGGGTTTTCCGGCTTCTGATGTCCTTCTATTGTGGGATGTAATGTTCATCATTTCACTTGGCTAATGTTGTCCTGACAGGGCGTTTTGATTCATCATGGCCTCAATCCGGAGAACTGACAAGTTCAAATATGCAGACTCCAGAAATGAAGGTAAAAAGGTGTATCTCTTTGGTGCTGTCAAAGCATATGCGTTCAGAAATATTTCCTGCTGACAATTGTAAATTTAAATACCCTGAAACTTGATTAATCATTCAGACATCATATGAATGTGACAACCCAAAGGAGTCTGAATCTCCCCGCTTTCAAGCTATACTCCGAGTTACCAGTGCGCCTAGGAAGAGGTTTCCTGGTGATATCAAAAGTTTCTCTCATGAATTGAATTCCAAAGGTGTACGACCTTACCCATTTTGGAAGCCTCGAGGTTTAAATAATTTGGAGGTATTCAGGTTTATTCTAGTTTCTTTTGTACATTTTTTTCAAGCAACGAGATGTTGCACTATTAATGTGGATATGCACGATCATGTCAAACTTGCTACAGGAGGTTTTGACTATGATACGGACTAAATTTGACAAAGCAAAGGAAGAAGTGGATTCAGATCTGCACATTTTTGCTGCAGATCTGGTTGGAACTCTGGAAAAAAATACAGAAAGCCATCCAGAATGGCAGGAAACTTTAGAGGACTTGCTGGTTTTGGCTCGGAGCTGTGTCATGATGTCTTCTGGAGAATTTTGGCTTCAATGCGAAGGCATAGTTCAAGATTTGGATGATAGGCGTCAGGAACTTCCTATGGGCATGCTAAAGAAGCTTCATACTCGAATGCTTTTTATACTCACCAGGTGCACAAGATTGTTGCAGTTCCACAAGGAAAGTGGGTTGGCTGAAGATGAACCTGTTTTTCAAATCCCCCAGTATCTTCAGCCTGCAGAAAAACGTGATGGGAAGATTTCTAGTGATGCAAAATCCTCCCACATTCCCCCCACAAGGAAATCTTATAGTCAAGAGCAACATGGCTTGGAGTGGAAGAGAGACCATACTGTACATGAAAATTTGCTATCTTCACCTGTTGAAACCACAAAGAACTTGGATCCTTCTGTCAGTAGGAATAGGATGGCTTCGTGGAAGAAATTTCCATCTCCTACTGGGAAGGTACCCAAAGATAATATCGTTGCTTCAGTTAAGGAGGAACAGAATGATAAAATTGTGGAAGCCCCAAAAATATTATATAACACAAGAGAAATCCATGTTGCTGATCTTGCTACTGCTAAAGCTTTTGAGCCTCCTGCAAAAGATTTCCATGTACAGCCTTCGATGCCTTCTAAGCACCAACGTAAAGTTTCATCGGGCAACTGGGGTGATCAACCCAGTGTTTCTGATGAAAGTTCAATAATTTGTCGCATTTGTGAGGAGGAGGTTCCTACTTTGCACGTGGAAGATCACTCTAGAATTTGTGCAGTTGCTGATCGATGTGATAAGAAGGGTCTTAGCGTCAATGATCGCCTAGTAAGAATTGCTGAAACTCTTGAGAAGCTGATGGAGTCTAATTCAAAGGACTTCCAACATGTTGGGAGCCCTGATGGTGCCAAAGTTTCAAATTCGAGTATGACTGAAGAATCCGATCTTCTTTCTCCAAAACTCAGTGACTGGTCTCGTAGAGGCTCAGAAGACTTGCTAGATTGTTTTCCGGAAGCAGATAATTTTGTCTTCATGGAAGATATGAAGGGTTTACCTTCCATGTCGTGTAAAACTCGCTTTGGTCCAAAGTCTGATCAAGGAATGACGACATCATCTGCTGGCAGCATGACTCCTAGGTCACCATTGATGACACCAAAGATGAGCCAGATAGACTTGCTTTTGTCAGCAAAAGGTGCTTACTCTGAGCATGGTGATCTTCCTCAGGTATATTACAGTCTGCTGAATTCATTATCATCAGCTTTTCGGTAACTTACAGCACGTGCCATATTAACGCACCACATTCAACTCTTAAATGTGTTACACAGCTGTTGTATGTGTTGAATACATCTGTTTGATTAATTGATTTTTACTTAAACCTCTTGGCCTTGTTATTTTGTATACAGTTGTAGATTTAGCTTGCTTTAAAAAATTTCATGTACATGAAGATCTAAGCATTTTTTTTTTGTTTGTCTTGAACCACTGTCAACTTCGATGCCGAAAGAGTTTGATGTTCTAAAAAATTTCACAAAAGATCACTCGATATTACTCTCTCTGGATTCCAGTCTTCTGAGATATACGCCTCTATAGGATGAAGTATAAGGACTATCTGCTGTAAAACGTCCATTGAGAAATAGGGAAGGGGAAAGAAATGGAGAGAAGAAACGAGAAAATAGAGAAGGATTTGGTCAAGTAGAATGTAACACAGAAAAGGAAGAGAGATAAAGAGGGAAGGAAGGAGAGAAATTGGAGTAGATTGAAGAATTTGGAGGAGAAGATTTCAATAATCAAATAATCATCAATAACAAATTAAGTTCTTATCTTTTAAAAAAGTCTCTCCAATAACAAATCAATCTCTATCTTTTAAATCCTCTCCCTCCAATAATAAACTATTAAATATAAATTAAACTCTTATCTTTTAAATCCTTCCTAATCCATATCTTTCCTATTGATAGGGAACGAAGAATAGAATAAAGTTAGGTTTTTTTTTTTTTGGAATCATAAAGTTAGGAACAGTAGGAGTTTAAAGTAGATTTACAACAAACAGACATCATTTAAATTAAAATATACTTTAAACTCCTATTGAAAATTTGAAATCCTAACTTTATTATTTTATTACCATCCTAGAGGAGAGATAAAATAAAGGAAAACGATCATTCAATGTATGATGTATCCTATCTTTAAGGTTTTTTGGGGTTTCTTTCTTTCCTTATATTTGAAGTCGTTCCTTTATCCTATCTACTAGAAAACAATAAGTCTTACCCAATATAGATTTGGATAGACCCCTTATTCTCTTGTTAAGTACATCATCGCATATGATTTTGTGCATTGGGCATTATTGCTAATGAATTGTGATTGCACGTGGCTATGGGATTTATTTAATTTGAGCGAGCTTTTCCAGTTTCTTTGATAATGGTTAAGCTTCCCATCCACTCATATACTGAAATACAATGCTGGAATTGGATTTATCATGTCCAATTGGACTTGCTAGATACCTAGTAACAGAGTGCCCATTAAGGCAGTGTGGTTCTAGAATGGTTCAGATTTCGTGAGCTCTACTTTAATGTGAAAAGTCAGTACATCAAACGTTTACCAAATGGTGGTCAATATTATTTTACCCCAGAAATTTTAGGTACCCAGAACTTTTTGAGGTAGCATATATTTCTTAATTTGATGGCTGCAATGCTTCATGGTAGTTTTCAGCTTCTGATGTCCTCTTTTTTATGCGAATCCTTGTTTCATATTGCATATTTCAGAGTATTAGTAACTCATCGTCTTTCTTTTCTTGTTCATGCTAACTTTATTAGACAATGTGATCCTCAATTATATTATATGATACCAACCCTAATTTAACTAGAGCCAGAGCTCAATATTTGAAGCATTCACATAGGACAAATTAGATGTCTCATGCATAAACAAATATGAATTCTGGAAATTCTCGAGAGATAAAATACTACGTTGTGTAGTGGAACTAAGTGGTAGGCAATTGTATAGAATCAATATATTGTTGAATTGTGAGATTGAGTTTGTATTTCTTTTGCTCTTTGAAAAGTTAATCCTCCATTTTGACATGCAGATGAATGAACTTGCTGATATTGCTCGATGTGTAGCAAATGCCCCGCTGGATCATGATAACTCTTTGTTATATCTGCTTTCTTGCCTTGAAGACTTGAAAGTTGTCATAGACCGCAGAAAATTTGACTCGCTCACGGTGGAAACTTTTGGAGCACGAATAGAAAAATTGATCAGGTGAGTTACTGTCTGTCTAATTGACCTCTTCATTCGAGATTTACACTATGCAAGTGTCTTGATGATTTACCTTGACATTTCTTATAGTTTTGACACATATATGTTTACAGAGAATTGACTCTTGTTTGATAAATTTAATTCTAGAGAGAAATATTTGCAACTATGTGAACTAGTGGATGACGACAAGGTTGATATCACAAGCACAATAATTGAAGAAGATGCTCCTTTAGAAGATGATGCTGTACGCAGTTTGCGAACTAGCCCTGTACATCCTGCCAAAGACCGGACTTCAATAGATGACTTTGAGATTATAAAGCCAATTAGTCGTGGGGCATTTGGACGGGTTTTCTTGGCAAAGAAGAGAACTACAGGGGATCTGTTTGCAATCAAGGTGCATATAGAATTTGTCATTCTTCCTTTGATGCTAGCTGTTTGTTCTTTTTCTTGAGATGATATGCGTTGAACGTCTTGATTTAAAAGTTTAAGCTGCTAGTTAGGGCATCATGGATATCATTTAAATTGTCTTCAACAATATGTTTCATAAGCTTTTAAGCAAGGCCACTGTCTAATTTGGATATAATGTAATTTTTATTTAGGTTTTTTGGTGAATAGTTCATTGCAACATTTCTATTCCAAGTTTTGAAGTTTCGCATTCTGAAAATGTATCATAGTTTAGGAAGTTGCAAAAGAGTAACGAGATTGTATGTCTTATTTTGGACCACTTGTCTCGTCCCTATTTAGTCAAACATTTCAAAAAACTTGAAGCTAATACTTTTTGATAGAGAGTTTTTAAGGAACTAGTATAAGTTATAAAGTGCACATCCATAGCAACAGTGTAAAAGAAGGGAAGAGAATCGTAAGATGGAACTTCTAGAATTAGCAATGGAGAAGTTTTTTAATGAGAGATGTCAATGTTTTAAAGATCAAACAAAAGTGGCTCTCTTCTAATTCTTTTTTCGCCTTTTGTAACGACCACACCTATGTGCTCAAGCTGTTAACTTACGTACTGTTCGCTTTGAAAGAAATTGAGCCCATCTTACCCCTCAAAGATTTCTATCACCATCCCCAGGATTCGAACCATGACCTCTCCCTTAACAAAGATATTAAGTTGAATCTTGGTATTAAGTGAGCAAGACGTAAGGTCTTGGGTTTAAGTCGTGGAGGGCGTGATATGAAGTCATGAGGGGGTAAGAGGCACGTTTTTCTTAAGCGGACAGTTCGTATGATATAATGGTTGGGGCACGATGCCCAGGTTGTCACACCTTTTATGATTTTTTGGGTTAATTTCTAAAGGTCAAAATGAGCGATAAAAAAGTTTTTTTTTTTTTTAGAGATGTGTCAATGTCCTTGCTGAATCTGTGACAACCATGGACCTTCCCTTACTAGCCCTTTTGCTCTGGGGCTGTTCCATGCACCTTTAGCCCCTAAGAGAAAGGGCTTTTAGGGCAAATTCGTGGTCGTCGTAGAATCAGATTAGGAATCTCCTACCATTGTGTATCAATTCATCAGTCTTGTCCTCACAGTGGATTATGTTTAGCAGGACATGGAAAAATTTTTTTAGGTCTTGTGAAGACGAGAGAAGGGAGATAGAAGGGAGGAAAATTGTATTTTTGTTCAATGTCAAAATGTGTCTTACAGTGAAATACCCTGCCGCTACTTAGAGTGAGAACTTCTAGTACGTGAGGAAATAAAACAAATACTAGAATAAATGCTTTTTCCTGAAATAAGTATCCAGGCTTGGCAATTATTCCATCACTGGGTCTTTCCTACTTCTTGGCTTTTACTCAAGCTTCACACAGCTGCCATTTTATGTTTATGATGTTTCTAGATCAACAGAATTGAAGCATTGCTTTTCATGGCTTAGAAAGCAACAAATTAGGATGCACACACACCATCACATAAACCCAATTCATCTAATGAGTTTGTGGTCAAGTACTCGCTTAATTTGTTCAAGTAAACTGGCTAAACTAGATCGTGGGGGAAACTTGCATTTTTTTTTTTGGGTATATCCCTTAGTCTGCTTCCTTCCGTACTCCTATTGCCACACTAAAGCATTATTATTAACTCATTACTCGATGAATTTTCAACACACGTCAACTTACTATGTATTTCGTAGGTTCTCAAAAAGGCGGATATGATCCGCAAGAATGCAGTTGAGAGTATTTTGGCTGAACGGGATATATTAATATCAGTTCGCAATCCTTTCGTGGTGAGAAAGTTTATCTGGCATAGCATTTTACTCTATCCTGTTAAAAGAACTTCTCTTTATAATTTGAATACTTCACGTGTTAGGTTCGCTTCTTCTATTCATTCACGTGTCGTGAAAACTTGTATCTTGTGATGGAGTACTTGAATGGTGGAGATCTTTATTCATTATTGAGAAATCTCGGTTGTTTAGATGAAGATGTTGCTCGTGTATATATCGCTGAAGTTGTAAGTTTTCTTCTTGATGACACTTGTTTAGCTTTAATTTCTCCCTTTGCTTTGGTTTACGTGAATGCAAATGTATTTATGACTTATGTTGTCAGGTGCTTGCTCTGGAATATTTGCATTCTCTGCGTGTGGTTCATCGTGATCTGAAGCCTGATAATTTGTTGATTGCCCATGATGGTCATATTAAGGTAAGTTATTTCATTTTTTTTTTGGCCTTCCTATTTTAATAGAAAGGATTTATCGATTTTGTATTCATTGAGGGTTTGGCTTTTGTTTTTAGATATGTGGTTTTCAATTTTGTAATTGGGACTTTTTTTTTTTTAAGAAAATGTAGTTTTAGTAAGGGGAAACCACCAAAAGTAGAAAAATTTAAGTGAAAATAAGAGGTAGGGGCCATCAGTATTCAGTACTGGTGTTACTGACCTCTGTGGATGGAATCTCATGACGCTTCTTTAGCCTATCTATTAGACCATTCTACTATGACAGCATCAAGTGGGACTATCCTGCTATCACTTATCATGTAGTTGTGAGCTTTAAGGCCCCATAATTGGCGAACATGCTTTTTTATCACTACAGATTACTTTTAGTTGTAAAGTTGATGATTTTTTCAATTGATATCCAATTCGTCATATAGCCATGGTAGCCTTGAATGCACCAGCTCAAAATATTTTTACTGGATTCACTTGCTATTTTTTTTCCTCATCATTTTTGTTTTGTTAATGATGCCATGATTATATACCACAGTACTACTCGACATCAATCAGAATTAATTATTTGTCCATGGACTCTTTTTATTTTTTCTCTTCATGTTTATGTTTCTCTGTGGATTTTTTTTTTTTTTTTCAATCTTGTATTTATTTGCACTAGTTTTTTTTCTTGTACAGGTCAACCATTACATTGGACTCCATTATTTACTTGTCCTATGCTATAGAATGATTTTATTTTTATGCTTCATATTATTTTAATATTGTGAACACATTTTATGAGAGAGTTCAATTATTTTTCAAGATAGTTTATCCTTAGAAATAAGTAAAGCTCATCGAGCTTGATACTTTTTTATATATATCTTTATTTTTTGTCCTCTGAATATGCTGACGCGGTAAGTACTTAGAGATGCTATGCTTGCATTCTAATGGGCAAAACTTAATATATATATCATCCAATATCAATGATGATTTACTGTTGTATTGACCAGTTGACAGATTTTGGGCTATCTAAAGTTGGTCTAATCAACAGCACTGACGATTTATCTGGCCCTGTGGTCAGTGAAACATCCCTAATGGAAGAAGATGAGCCACAATTGTCTGCATCCGAGCATCAGGAAAGGCGTAAACAACGCTCTGCTGTTGGTACACCAGACTATTTGGCACCCGAGATTCTTCTAGGAACTGGGCATGGTTTGTAATTGTTCCTTTTTATTATAATGTTAAATAAATTAGAGAAATGCACTATACAATGTTAATGGAAAATAATAATCCGTTCCATATGCTCAAATGAAGTCACAAGACTAAACAAAATCATAACTGGCTCCTCACTCAAACGGTAGAATTGTGACTAATATAGGCGATAATTGTGGGACCAGTACAACAATCCACCGGTACAGAATTTCCCTCCTGTTTTTCATCATTTGTCTCTAGTTTCCTCCTAGTAGCCTAGCATTTATGTTGATGTTAAAATCAATCATAAAATAAGTTTCAGGATATAAAACATCGAATGGCTGATAACGATGTCCCTGATAAAAATTACAGGTTCAATTAAAGTGCTGCATACAGTTTTATGATATATGTAGTTATGTCTGGATCATCTTTTTGATCATGTTGGTTAGTAAAAAACATTATGACATGAACTGGAAACATATCGCCGTCAAAATCGTTATATGTTTCCCTTCGACCTGGCTTTATCTTTTTGATTTGAGTATTCTGCATTTTCAGGATATACCGCCGATTGGTGGTCTGTGGGTATTATTCTATTTGAGTTGATTGTTGGCATTCCACCGTTCAATGCAGATCATCCTCAGGTTGTACATTGTTCAATAATTTTGCTTCATCTCTTATTTACAATTCTTTACCAGAACGACTTGAATGGGGGATTTTATTCCTTGGTGTTTGCTGAATAGTTAAAGATCCTTGAATTGTGACTCACGTTTTCAATTCATGATTTTGGATCTTATTATTTGGTCCATATGGGACTTCACCTTAATTTAGTGATTTTTATGATAGTGATACGAGATAAATTAAAAGAATGCAGTTCTCAAATTGTTTGAAAATTCTGTAAACACGTATAGATTCCTGCAAAGAATTGTCTTTCAGATCCTTGTTGAATTGTGAACTAGTGCAGCGTGTCTATAGAAAATATTAAACAAATTAAAAAGTATTGCATTATACGTCCCAACTACTTATACTTGAAAGACTACTTCTATTTATAGTTAACATCCATAGTAAAAAAAGGAAAGTTACTGAACAAAGAAAAGTGAAAATTACCTAATTTAAAATTTTAGTTCATTCGGCTGGTTCTCTCTTTTGCTTTTTCAGGCCCACTCTGTTGGGTATTCTATTTTTGGCGCAAATTATTGCATGATAAATTTCTGAACTCTGAAGCATGCAATACATAGCCACTTAAAAAGATTTAATTGTTGCAAGTTGCGTGTGATTCCTGCCATAGTATTTAGTGCATGTGTAATTTTAAGGACACTCGCCACTAATAATCCCATGAATAGAATTCTTGAAATCCCATGCGGTGGAGACAATTGTGAAATTCTTATGGGTTATTGTTATATATCATCTATATTGTTTGGTAAATTTATCATCTAGTGCCTTCTTTGGTTGTTCTCTTATAATTTATCAAAACAATATACCTTCTAGTGTTTTATTCCTTATAATTTCTGTATTCTTTCAGAAAATTTTTGATAATATTCTCAACCGCAATATTCCTTGGCCTCGGGTCCCTGAAGAAATGAGTCATGAAGCACATGATCTGATTGATCAGTAAGAAAAACCTTAATTTATAGTTATGATGATTAGTTGTGGGCAAGTCTCAAATCCTGGTTATCTTAATGACTTGCTGCCTTCGTTTTTTCCATACACAAATTTTGAAAATGCTTCACATTTTTTCCATATGAATGTAGAGTTCTGTGAATTCTATGTCATTTTTATAATTCCTTATCGATTTTCAGATTACTGACAGAAGATCCCAATCAGAGACTCGGAGCTAGAGGAGCCTCAGAGGTTATTTTAGTTCCTCACATTATTTCAGATGGCCGTGTATTTTAATTACACGTTCTATTGATAATAGATCAAAGTATAAAATTTACTGTACAGGTGAAGCAGCATTCATTTTTCAGAGATATTAGCTGGGATACACTTGCTAGACAGAAGGTTAAGACTCTCTCCCACAATTCAATGTGCTCTGATGTGCAGAAAATATTTCCTTTTCCTAGATCAATTGGTATTATCGTATATCGCGTGGTTGGCTAAAGCTTAAAAAGTTCACTATTAGTAAATAAGTATGTTTTATAATAATTTTTTAATCGGTCAAAACTCAAAATTAGCAATAAGCAAGTT